ACAAAATTTTATTCATGAACACTGTTTGCGCCCTTGAACGTGCTGGTCGTGCACGCTCAGACAGAGTTTTAAATCTCACTGACAAAAAATTAGAGCCTTGATCCACGAAATAGAACGGCATATAAGTCAAACTCAAATTTAGCAAGAGGATCTATCAAAAACTTACAGATAAGATACGTCAGTGTTCCGAAGCATATCAGCAATCCTGCTAGCCTGGTTCAGGACCTCTCTCCGATTTAATGATCTCGGCTCTCTCTGCTCACTAGATAACCGTAGCTCCTGCTCTACAGCTCCGCAGCACACCGGCAGTGACGGTAACGGCAAACATGGCGCGACTTCCGAATGAACTATGCTGGAGAGGGATATGCCGCGGGGGATGCCGCCATTTCTACTCGAGCTCGACATGGAATCAATTATGTGCTTGGTGATAAACTGCTTATTGATTGCTATCAGCAGACATTTACTTCGAAGTGCTGGACAATTCAAACTCTGACCGTTGGGATTTGAGGAATATCTAGTAACTGTTCCGAGGAGAGAATAATTTGAACCAAAAAAGCCCTAGAGAGAGGAAGCGGATGGATAGATAAACAGCAAATGGCGGGGAAAGTAAGTAAAGAGTTGAGTTGAGTCTTCAAGGTTTGCAGCTTGTACTTTTGGTTTTATAGTATTTGTTCGAATGGCCTCCAAATAAAATAAATAGAGAACATTTTCTTGTGTTCACTTTAATTTCAGGGACATGTAAAATAAAATTAAACCCCCTCCTTAAAAAGAGTCCAAGTAAGAGACAAGTTTAAGTGAGTTTATGAGTTTACTTAAACTTACTTCAGATCAATACTTAAACTTACTTCAGACCAATTCAAACTATAATCAGACTTCGACAATTATAAAATACAAAGAGATCATATATTTATCTGAGCGAATCAGACCAAAAAAATTCAGCCCAAGTAAAAACATTTTGAGATTTGAATGATTTTTTTAATAGATTTTACTTCCTCCGTCCCTGAAAATACTTCCAATTTTCCCTTTTCGCCCATCCCAAAAAGAACTTCTTTTTCCCTTTTTGGCAAAGAATTTGTGGTTCACACCAATTCTTACACATCTCTCTCCTCTGCACAACTTTTCACCACACAAAATCCACTTTCTTAATCTATGTGTCATTTGTACTACGGAAGTAAATTATGGGACGGAGGGAGTAATAAAATCTTTTGGAATATGATAAAAAAAAACTTTTGGAATCATATTTAACAAAATCATATGAATTCCAATGCATTTCAGTAAATGGTCTCAAAACATAACTTAATCATTAAACAAAAACAGAAGGCCTGTAATATTTGACTTATTCGCGCTCTTGATTTTATTCTCCTCCTTCTTTCATTATGGGGGTGTTTGGAACTGATTCTGCTTCCGTTTCTCTTTTAAAGTAAAAGCAGAATCAGAATTAATTTTCAAAAGTTGGTCCCTCTCAGCTTCTAAAAAACTGATTTTAGGAGTAAATTAGAGTACCAGAACTCCTCAGAAGTACTTCTGCACTTTCACCCAAATACTTCAACTTCTGCTTCTGTTCCTTGAAGGAACATGATCAGTTTTAAGAATCAGATCCAAACACCCCCTATATCGGCTTTAGCCAACGATTTTGATTAATGTTAATTAAGTTCCGTTTTCCGATTAAAAAACAAAAGGCCTATAAGCGTTCGAATGCAAACATGTATTTATTAAAAATGTGTACAATCATGCATCTACCCATACTATATCTATTATGTGTGTACTGTTAATTGCTCCGATATAATTCTAATGATCAAAATATGTTTGACATAGTATTTATATTAATTATAAATATATATATATAAGAAAAATGTGAGAAATTAATTCATATTTATCTTAAAGACGGATAAAATAATGCACTCTCCTAATTTTCTAGGCATTGCAATTCATAGTTTGACCATTAAGTTGGATGCATTTGTGTTAAAAACTTTAAGGCCTTCAAAACCCTGTTGTTGTATCTGCCTAGAAGTTAAATGTGCTTTATTTAAGTCTTTTGAGTAACACAATAACAATTATTTTGACCTGCTGAAAGTAATAATGTTGCAAACAATTCTTCAAAACAAATACAACGTGTTTTGTAAGGAGACTCTCTTCCTCGGATGATCTTACAAAGCTTAAGAAAATGTCCAGGATACATCCTACACGTCTATCTAGATTCTAGACTGCTCAATATCTTTAGTTAATACTAATAGTGTAAAATTAATCAGTACTAATTATTAGGCAGTATATTAAATTGTATTTGGAGACTTATTTCATTATAAATATGTTGTCAGCGCTACCGGTCAGGATAAGCCCGTTTATTATTTCTCACAAATACTTCACTCATGTACTTAAAACCATTGGTGTTGATTCGTGTGTGAACCATGCGTCCAATATACCCGTGCCACAATGTATATGCAATATTAAACCATTGAATGCTTGGAGTGTTTCTTGAAGTCCTAATAAAACTAACTATATTGGGTGATGGTTTGCTTTCTATAAATTTCCGCAAAGCATTTGTAAATAATCTTATCTTCCATTAAGCAAATGTAAATACATGCTCCTAATTTTGACCAAGCAATCTAAATTCAGAAACAACACAAAGAAAGGGTTTCGGAGCGAGTGAACCATGGTTTTAAAAACATTTTCCTCCCACTTTTCCATCAGTATTGTGAAAAACACAAATCATTCACGTGTTATTTCTCAAGAACTTGTATTTTGAAGTATTACATGCACGAGTGAAGAAGTATTTGTATACATGAAGTACTCTGTAATATTTATTATAAAACATGTATTTGGGTATTCTATCTGATGCTTTTGCTTGGGAATGAGACGAGGGTTCTTACTCGAGTCCTCGACAGTACGTGATCTATGGGATTTTGATGCAAATAAGAATATCTGTTACAAAGCTTTGCTCGTTATGCTAGGAAACTATTTGCCTACACATAACATAAACACACAAAAAATGGTCATTTAGATATAAGAATCGCATTCACGTCACATGAGAACCAAATCTCAAACAAAAGCGGAGATTTGAAGATTTGATTGAGGACTCAAATTTACTAGGGAGTAGAGAGTTTTACTTGTGATACTTTGGGTTGGGTTTTCCTTTATGTGTGTTGCTTGTTGTTTGTGTACTTTTACATGCTTATTTTTAATAAAACTTTCCTTTCTTTGAGAAAAAATGAATTTCAGCTGATAGGGTTTATCAATCTATTATGATGCATTTGGATTCTTGAGGATGAGATGGTTGGTGGAATTATGCAGTGTAACTTTTAATGCATAGTTCTCTCAAAGTTGGGGCAAATTCAAATAAATGAAAGCCCGTGAGGATGACACCGAGAGCCGGGTACATAATACATTTTGTTTAGCAAATTTATGAGTATTATTCTGACTGATAGAGTATTAACTCTTAGAGAGAAAGGAGAGCTAGAGAGATAAAATGATATGTATAAATGATTTCTCAACCCTTTACATGGCTCCCATAGGGAGTATTTATAGGAGAAAAGTGGGTTGAGCTCCCATGAGGCTCATTACAATATAAGGCTTCTAATGAGCTGGATACAAGAATTTGACTAAGTATAGAAACTGTCCCTGCGGGATCTGTCTGGCCGACGGGAGCTCTGGTCGACGGAAGACCCTGGCCAACGGGGGCTCTGGCCGACGGAGGACAATTCTTCTCCTTAGCTTCTGGATCGTATTCTGGATTGACTCTTCTTTGGCCGATGGGGTGTCAGCTGGCCGACAGAGGGCCCACTGAATGACGATTGTATTACTCTTAGTCTTCTGAGTATGTGGGTCATAGAGTCTGGACACATATACTCCATCACTGACATTGTATAGTACGAAGTAGTTATTTATACGAAGTATTATATACTTTGTACGTGTGTGTGTATTGAGAGAGAGAATTTGAATCAAATGACAACACAATTTAAAGTTAGAAATGAGAATGAATTTAGATCGTTAGATTTGGAAAGTGTGCATTATGTGAAAATGTGCATTAGCATAAACTAGAAAATTAAACGTGGTGACATTTTTATAAATAAATTCATTTTTTTGTAAATGTAAAGTGCGCATTATTTTAATCATCAATGTGCACCTCCATGAGCCAGAATGTGAATCATTTTGGATCTTCTCATTTCTAACGTGAATAAGTATTCTCTCTGTAACCAGACCATATATATGACTTTGATATTGTTTGAATCGAATATGTTTGTATTTTTGAAAACTATTTGAATAAAAAACACATTTGTATTCGTAATCATATTCTATTTATTCGACTTTGAATCCACGTTTTCAAATTTGAATCACGAATTAAATCAAAATTATTCTATTCAATTACAACGCTATTTATATGTTTCAAGGAACATTTCCTTTTTAATGCATTTAATAACTACAAAAGTTACAACCAAGACCAGCCGATCGACCGAAATCCGCCCAGAATTGTAGGTCCTGGTCCCAAGCTCCATATAAATATTTCAGGACCAGGCTGTCCGGGACCGAAACGAAACAATATCAATGCCCGAGCGATACCTAATGCAAGATGAGAATCACGCAGTACAAAAAAACTTCTTTTGGTATTGATTTTATGAGCGAAGACTTCCATGCCAAAGTGGTCACAAGTTTCTGAAAAAAGACAACGACTGCACATGTATTACACTAGCACGGCTGAAGCTGTGCTTCAAAAAGTTTTTTGCCAATTTCCTACAATAAGTAATGGCATCTCCAGGATTTGTGCCTACTTTGGCACAGCTTCATGGCCAATGAGTCAGTCTATACCATTAATGTGGGGTTCACTATCAATTAATGAATTCATTGATTAATTATAGGTCCATCAATGGTTGAGATTCCCTCCCTCCAAATACTTTAAACTTTGGGACGGATCTCAGCTCCCATCATGTGGTTGGAAGGGAGTATATGTACACACCCCACCTGCAGATTAGTACTAAAGTATCAGCACTCTGTTAGTAAAAGTGTAAAAAAATGCAAGTTTAGGAGCCTATGTATGAACTCCCCAACCCCTTTCTATTTTATTATCATTGTTTATTATTACTAATACTACTACTATCATGTTTCACACTTGTTGCACAATAGTGCTAAATCAGCCATTACCTTATCTTACATTCGCACCAGAGACCCATCACTACTGAACATCCTCCACACACTACTATACATATCAGAAGTAAAAACACCTAGACAATGGAAATGTGGCATATACATATTCACCATCTGAAATGAAATGGTCCAGATGCATGCTTGCAGCGTTTCACCCATTGATCCTCCATCATATATTAAGATCACAGAGTGAGTCCTCGTCCGAACAGCCACCATCTCGAACAAAGTCAGCAATCAACTTCGCAACCGAGTGTGGTTCATCAACATGAGGAAGATGTCCACTATTTGGAATCTTTCGGCTTATGGCATTTGGTAGTTCCTTGCACAATCTCTGTGTCATAATATTCCACAAATGCTGTCAGATAATCTGGACCATCAAAGTATAGCATTTGATGCTAATGAGTTAGTCTATACCATTAATGGGCTTCACTATTAATTAATGAGTTCATTGATTAATTAGGAGGGACTAGGTTCATCGATGGTTTAGAATCCCTCCCTCCTGATCTGCTCAGACAATGTGAAAGGATATTGGATGTATCACTTTTTTTTCTCCCTTAAAGCAATATATGTGATTTTTTTTAACTCACCATTGCAACTCCACTGCTGATTAACTTATCGCGCAAGCCCAATATGACTAGTGTTCTTTTATTCACCTATCCAAGAATGCTAATCAGAACATTTAGCTTTAAGAAGCAAAAATACTACAGATAAAATATGTATCAGAATAGAAGGAAATATCAGAATAAACCGTGAAACTCATCACTTTCAGCAAAAAACTAATACTTTTTGGGTTAAAAAATGTCCCTTGTAGAATAGAAGATAAAATATTTCTCATCATCATCATTATTACCCGAGTGCCGAAAAGGCTCCCACCTATGGTGGGGTAAGGGGGGTCGTATGTACGCAGTCTTACCCCTGTACCAAAGCACAGAGAGACTGTTTCCGGATGACCCATAGTGAAAATCGCGTCGAAAATTGCATTGGCTGACCGCTGCTTCATAACAAAGAAGCGCAGACAGATTAGAGCCATTTTGCTTTAATCCATCATATTCCTAAGCCAAAAAATAATGTCTTTGGCTCCATTGTAAATGATGGAAAATGGGTGAAATAATTTGGGTGAAATATACCAGGAACTTACATTTCATTGTTTGGTTGGCACAGTTAAAATCATCAGAAATAATTTGATTTGGAGCAATAGTAGAATAATATGTACAAAGATCAAAACACCATACTTTGAGAAATAAAAAGAAGTCAACACTCAATTTATGCAAGTATAAATTGTGATACAATGAATGCTGTGGAAAAGTTACTCATTTCTTTAGGGGAAAAGTATCTCTTAGGACAAAAGGATGACACATAACAAACAAGGGATCGCCCTCTTTTTGGGATCATATAGGGAATATATTGTTTTCTCGCATTACCAAACAACCCATAGCTAAGCTAAATAACTAGAGTCCTGACAAGAGAGAGCTCTGATAAACTATCTCAAGCAGGTACAACCAAATGTGAATGTCATGTCATCTTAGAGGGAGTTTGGGATGACTTTTTCATAGAATTAATAATCATATAAAAAAGTGCTACTTCTTATTACTTTTAAAAAGAAACGTTTGGCAAGAAAATAGAACAATTGCATATAATTCTAAAAAAGTTTTTTTCTTTATTTTGAAAAAGAACTTGATTGGAGTGTCTGAAAAAACAACTTCAGAGCATTATTGAGCAAACACTTTTTGTGCACATAACTATTCTTTAAGAGATCAAAGAATCTTTTAGAAGTGATTATTTTCAGCCCAAAAGTGTTACTACCACTGTCCAAACAAACTCATGTTTCACAAAGGTATAGCTTTTAAATATTAATAAGGACCATAAGTATTAATAAGGACCATAAGGTACATTAATTAGTAACCATCCATCCTATCTGTATTTTTGCTGGTTTACTAAATTTAACAATGTTGTATTATAATAATCCAATTTTGTGCTTTCTGTTTGTTGTTAATTAAGAAAATACAGGATATGAGCTTTTGAAAGAAAAAAAAAACAGTTTTAGTACTTAAATGAGAAAGCACTTTTTACAAAAGCACTTATTGAATAAGGAGAGAAATATGTGAAACTTCTCTTAGAGAGACTTTAATGACTTAAATGACCATATATAAGGCAGCTAGGGAAATGTAAAGACAGTTGAGTACCTTTTTAATTTGATCAATAACATTATATCCACCACTCAGCATAAAACTAACCATAGAATCTTCCCACCAAGGTAAGAGACAATGGAGGCGCCCCACCTGATGATTAATATTAGGAATACTTTCATCAAACTGAAGAACAAGGTATCTGATAAAAGAGTCATCATTCAAACAGGTATCAAATTCTTACATTGGCCCAATCCAAGCAAGTAGATAGAGGCAAACCGTGAAAACACTTTAAGTTAGCATAGGTCCGCAATGGGACGCTCTTCAGTAAAGATACCTTGAACAAGAGCAGAACTTCTTAGCCAGAAGTTACAATGTACTGTAATACGACATAAAGTGAATGAAGTAGAGCAATAAAATTTTGTGAAATAATTCCGATTTCTTGTTTTACCCCTCCATAGGCCACCAATTTAGGCAGTTTCTTCATTAACCCAGTACCTTCTCCATAAACACTCGCATTCATCAGAACCAGTTTGTGAACCTGACGGCATAAATAGCAGAGTGAATAAGCAAACTTTGTGGGATAAGAACTTCAGAGTTTGAGCTATAAGGCTCATGTTTTCTGTTAGCTAGTTTAATTAAACTGTATTATGTTAGGGACCTATCTATTAGAATAATATTAGAAGTAATAATAATAATATTAGTAATAAGGGTCTCTAGTATAAATAGATGGGAAGGGGAATGAGTAAATAGGCTTTTGGACGATTAGTCTTGGGACTGGGAAATATCGGAGACTAAACATCTCTATCTTTTGGGGGCTTCGGCCAGTGTCTTCTCCTGTAATCGATCACTTTCATCAATAAATTTTCAGTTCATTTCTCGTTAATTTCCTGTAATTGTCTGGAATTCCTGGAGGTTCTTATCATTGGTATCAGAGAACTTCTTTCCTGGAGGCAAAGGATCTGAATCGATAGAGAATTTTCATTACTTGGAACGATGGAAGGAAGGTTGGATACGCTGGAAAAGAAGATCGATAGAAGTCGGAAGGAGTTAAATGCAAAATTCGAGGAATTAAGAGCGAAGATGAAGGCTGGCTTCGCGGAGATTACTAAACCGAAGAAAGATCATTCAAATCGATCGTACACTCCTCCGAGGTCGCATCGCGACTCTCATCATCGCGACTATCATCATCATGACTCTCATCATCGACATACGCGACTGTCGATCGACGCAAATGAATCAGAAAAACAGAGTCTTCGCAGAAGAACTGGAGAAGGATCGAGGACCATCAGGCATGCTCCGCTATCACCGAAGGAGTCACAGACGAAGTCGCGAACTACCGATCACTGTTCACAGTCGCAGAATTCTTCGCATCGCTCTTGTCGCTATTCGCAGAGTTCTGCTCATCATTCTTATCATCTCTCTTCGCATCAGAGTGCGCCTTATTCATCTAAAGTAAATTCTAGGAAGTCAGCTAGTTCACAGACAGAGGAATGACCTCTATTCTATGAGGATGAAGCGTATGAATGGATTGGGAGGATGGAAAGATATTTCCGAGTCCAAGCTATTGCAGAAAGATTTAAAGTGGACGTGGTAGCAAAGGCTATGGGGGAAGGAGCAGATGGCTGGTTTCAATGGTGGGACTTTCACAAGAGAGAAGATAGTTGGGAGGCTTTAAAGGAAGATTTGATTAGGGATTTTCCACCTAGACACCGGCAGAAGACAGAGAAGACAGTAAAACCAGAGTCATCGAGGTCTTCGCATAGTTCTAAAAAATTGTTGCAATCGCCAGTTTTGTCAAAAGTTAATTCTCAATCTGCACAAGATTTTTCCCAATCAATAAATGAGATTATGATGGAGACAAATGAATCTGTAATCAAGAAAGTGAATAAGAGAGACGAAATCAAGGAGGTAAGACAGGAGGAGGAGGTTGGGCTTGTTTCGGGAGAATCTGCTATCATTTTTGGAAATCCCAAACAGATTCATGATGCTGACAAGTCTGGTTTCGTTCAGGAGATGAACTGGCTGAATCTTTTAAAATCTGAAATAATATACTGTCATCCATTAAACATTTCTTTGGAAGGGCTGAAATCATTGAACAAGTTTGATAGTTTCAGATATGAGGGTATTACTTCTATGATGGGTCATAAAAAGGGGTTAGAAGGAGAAAATTCTGGGAATGTTACAGAATTTGAGGGATATGACTGGTGTGGAAATTGTTAGTGAAGTGGTTAGGGGACTGCCAGTAGATTGTATACCTGTTCAAGATAGAAGTGTAGGTTGTGATTACAAGTTTCTTATGGCAGGTATTGATCCAAGACACAAAATACTCATGAAAAGAGGTATGAACTGGAAAGAGGACAGTGTGTTGAGCACCATTGTTTTTTTGAAAGGGATGAGAAAGTATGTTGTTGATATTTTTGAATATCAGTTGGATCAAATCAGTATGGCCCGGGATCCTACTACTCAGGCTACTGTTAATAGATGGGAGGCTGTAGCAAATGGACAGGTGAAACTGAAACAAGGCTTGAAAAGTGAATTGTTTTCTTCTGATGAAGAATCTGTCTATCTTCAAGAAAACATACTTTGGAAGTTTTGCATGGATAATAGGCTTTCCTGTTCTTCAGTTAGGAGAAATGCAACTGGAATAATGGATATCCTTACCTACCTGCTAAAACCTTTGAGGTTTTCCTTCTCAAATAAGTTGGCTAATGAAGATGCTGAAATTTCAAGGAGTGAAGCAACTGAAACTCAAAGATTTGAGTTATACCCTGTAGCAAGAGCTATTAGCACATGGAAGAATGAGCAAGGGATGTTGGGTGAAGATCAGTACCAGCATGATCAAAGACACAGGCCTGATATTGATGATTGGAAGAAAAAGGAGCTAATGCTGTATTTGCAAGAAGCAGTGAGAAGGAAGATTCAAGTCATGAAGTTAAGGATCTTGACATTTGAAAGATATTGGGAAGGAAGAGGTGCAAGGAAGAAGAAGAAGAAGAAGCAGAAGATCTGGGCTGTCTCCTACCGACCACCTTGAGGGCAAGGTGGATGTTTAGGGGGGGGAGTATTGTTAGGGACCTACCTATTAGAATAATATTAGAAGTAATAATAATAATATTAGTAATAAGGGTCTCTAGTATAAATAGATGGGAAGGGGAAGGAGTAAATAGGCTTTTGGACGATTAGTCTTGGGACTGGGAAAGATCGGAGACTAAACATCTCTATCTTTTGGGGGCTTCGGCCAGTGTCTTCTCCTGTAATCGATCGCTTTCATCAATAAATTTTCAGTTCATTTCTCGTTAATTTCCTGTAATTGTCTGGAATTCCTGGAGGTTCTTATAATATTATTGAACAATAACGAGTCAAACAAAGATAGTTCAGTTTATTTATTGAAATTGCATACTATTTTCCATCTCCGGAATTTCGGTATATGATAAATTCAGCCCCACTCATCATAAAAGAATCCTCAAGAGGTGAGGTTACCACACACTTACATATTTTACATAAACACATAATAAATACCTTATGTGAGATACTTCAACACGTGCAATCAAACTAAATCGGTCTGAACCACTTGAAGGTAGATAATTGGGCCAAACCGTCTCCTTAATGGGCTAGCTCAAACCATATTAGAGCTCAAGGTCGAATTGTGATCATTCAAATTGACCACAAGACACTCAGGCCAAACCACATTAAAAGATCAAACCTAATCTATTAGTAAGTTTAACCCAACATGTCATTAACCTATCATTCTCTTGTTCAGTTTTTTATGTCAGTAACTACCCCCTCCCTATACTTGATCATCATTGTAAAAACTAAGTACTACTCCTTCATAACAAATCATTGACTTCACAAAGCGTTAATATGGGCGGTTTATATAAAATTAGTTGTACCAACTACCTTAAAAATCATTGATTTCTTCGTGCGCAAAAAATGGTGGTCCTGCTGGGATTGAGGGAACATAAGGCTGTGTTTGATTTAGAGGGAAGGAAGGGAGCTGCCCTTGGATTTGAGGAAACCAAAATAAGGGGAGGGGACGAGAGGAGGAAAGATGACATATTGACTCCCCTCCCTTAATAATATTTCAAGCGAATAATGGGTAAGAGACATCACTCCCTGAGTCCCCCCTCTGAACCAAACACAACCCATAAGTATAATTTTTTTTTCAGGAATCTAATGAGCACATACATGATACATCCAACCTTGCATAAAGCACAGAAGATACAATTGAAGGGAAGAAACATGAGAATTCTTACAGCCTCAGGGTGATTGACCGTAAAATCAATAGCAACTGCTGCACCAAGGCTTGGTCCCACTAATATCATAGGCCTTTTAATATAAGACTTCCATAGCTATCGTGTAGTTGAAAGAAAGGGCAATGTTAGAACACAGCTATGAATATATGATGATGATGGTGACAAGGAGAAAGGTCAAAAGGTTACCTGATAAAGGTGGGCTCTTTTTGATGCAGCATCACAGGGCGGGCGTCTTTCTGTGATGTCAAGAGTTAAAATTATTAGGAATAACATATTCAAGAAGGAAAAAAAAGTTACCACAGATTTCATGACAGATGAAAGTAAAAGGAAGGTGGAAAATTGAAACCTAAATCAGAGAATCCCCATCCAAGAATATCTATAGCCCAAGTCTCAAGACCAGCATCTTCAAGCAGTGGATATGCGCGCCTCCACTCTAAGCATGAGCTGATTTCATCACACAAATAACCAAAACTTTTGAATCTGAATACTTTAAACCGTCTGTCTAATCAAGATCTGACGGTTCCGATGCATGCAGACCAGTAATCTCCTTCCATCGAAATAAATCCGATCATGATCTTGATCGTATCATGTTCTTGATCTAGATAAGCACTGGACCGTAATCGCAGATAGTCTGGACCGTCCAGATCTCCCGTGCAGAGCTGTGGGACTCGGGGTGATCGGACGGCTCAGATGAGTTCATGAAAACAGATCCATAAAAAAAAAACATATTCTGTCCAAAGTCCAAACTAGGCCACATATGTTGTTTTTATGCGTACCTGTCAAAACAGTGAAGAAGGACGACCGGTTCCTTATCACTCCGGAGAACAGGCTTAATACAACTGCTCATTATACAGCTCTCAGGTGAGCCAACCTGCAATAGTGTCATCATCAAAGGAAATAGGTAAGTAAATTAATAACTGGTTTTTAAATGCAATTCATGTTAATTAGGAGCCTTTCTTGATTCTTCCCACTGTTTTAAGCAATTGAAATGGCAGCAAGCTTCAAAACATGGGTAAAAACTTAGTGAAGCAAAATTGCATGCAGTAACTGAAGCACAGATCAACCTTACATTCAAGATTCTTGGGGTTCCCAGAAAAACATTATTAAGTTAAACGAGTAAAAATGATTTCAGTCATAGTGGAATCTCCGAGAAAAACATTCTTGGGGTTCCCAGAAAAACATTGTTTTGTACAAAGTCAAAAATTAAATGCATTTTACTTTACACTTTACTCATTTGGAATCTGGAGGAAGAAATCAAGAAGAGAGACCTGAACGGGAAGCCTTTGGATTCTCCTAGCCAAAGTCCGAGCAAATGGGTCTTTAATGTTGTGAACCTCTTTGGGGAGAAACGCCGGAAAATTGCCACCGATGACACCATCTCCGCCGTTTACTTTCCCGCCTGGAAATCTTTGACCTGGTATCTCTAGATCCATCAAACTCCCAAAGCTCCATTTTCCTCCCCCGGACATCAAAGCTTTCATCTTTTCCGGCTAACCTAGAATTAAAGACAGGTTACAGGTATAATGGCTCTCAGGAGTCTCAGCTCTCTAAACCCGGAATGCACAATCGACACCGGTGAAGCACTGAACTGTAGTATGTGGAAGTTACCTTCATGGAACTGGAGATTATAAGAACAAAATAAATAGGTATAGGCAAGTGCATGTTACTGAACTGCATGGCCAGACCATTAATGTCCTTTCGTTGCTTACTGACTGTATAATACTCCTGCTCTCCGTATTCATACACTATTCGAACAATGTATAATACCAAATTTTTCATTCTCTTTAATTTTGTCAATTTCCTTTTGAATTAAATAATACTAGTATGAAATTTGTATTCATTCTCTCACCTGTATACAATTTCAAATTCTCTTTAATTTTGTCAATTTCCTTTTGAATTAAATAATACTAGTATGAAATTTGTATTCATTCTCTCACCTGTATACAATTTCAAATTCTCATATCAGTCGAACCTGATGATGTTTTAAGAGGAAAAGGGGCAAATAAGTCTCGAACTAATCGAAAAAATGCAAATCATCCCTTTTATAGGAGACTTTGTCCGCCTCTCGTCATTTGAGGCGTTTCATGGTGAAATGTTTTGATTAATTTTTTTAAGAATCTTCTTCATTAAGTCTAGTTTACCTATACCAAATTTCAGCTAAAAATTCAATGGTGAAGGCAGTCAAATAAATGTTTGAAGATAACTGGCACTTAAACAGTGCAGTATATTTCCGAAAATCAATTGACTGCCTTCCGGGTTGAATTTTTTCTTGAAATTTGGTATGGGTAAACTAGACTTAATGAAGAAGGTGCTCAAAAAAAGTCATCAAAAAATTTCACCGTTAACAGCCCCAAATGGCGACGACCAGACAGAGCCTCTTATAAAAGGGGTGATTTACACTTTTTTCGTTTATTTCGAGAGCTTATTTGCACTTTTTCCTTGTTTTAAAAGACAAAATGAGTAATATATTGACTACATACACTCATTCCGCTAAAATTGATAAAGTTGGAGTATGGAAGAAAATAAAAGAATATTTTATTAATGAAGTAAAGGAAAAAGAAAAGTGACATGTATATTGCTGACAGAGTTTTTACAAACAGAAATATGACTACTTATGTTTTTGAACAAAAATATGACTAGTCCACGTCTACGAGTAACTGGATAAGAGTCATCATAGTGTATTTCAGAGTGATAAGTCACTAATAGGTGACGAGTTACTGGAAACTAATCATTGAATATGTGTCACTTGGGGGGGGGGGGGGAATTAAAATAAATCATAATTTTGTATTTTATATTTAATTTTGTAATATTCATGGGAAAAGGTCAAGAAAAAATTATATGGAAAAACTAGCTAATATGACTCTCTACTATAACTTTAATCAACTCATCCATGAAATTAACTTCAACTTACTTATTTTGATTATTATGCAACTAGTGACCAAAATAAAAAGTCATTGTTTTGTTGAAAATGTTGGCTAATAAGCTGAAAACATGAATCACTAAACGGGCTATAAATATGAGTCTATTTGCTACTTCCAAATTTTCCTATCAGACTCATGGAACATCTTCTTATCAAACACAAAACTTTTAATATCAGAAGTTAATTTCTGCAATAATCAAAATAAGTGAAATTGGTGAAGGTAGTCGTTGGAACTATTTTTCATAAAATTTTCTTTTTATTCTATTAATAAAACATATTTGAAAATATTCTTTTTTGTTTTGTGTTTACAGTTGTTGTTCAAGTGGGAGGAAGTAACTAGGCTTTTTTTATGAAAAATAAATAACTAATTTATTATTAAAAGATAGCAAAGATACAAGCGAATGGATAGTCTAAGGCTATAATGGGATGAGACATAGGATGGAAAACATCTGATGAATCCTTCCAAATCGCTAATCGCGCTATGATGTAGTATAGTCTAACAGCCTTGTTGTTCTTTTTGCTACTCAATAGAGGAAATAAAAAAAATACAACTAAAAGATCTGGCTTCACCAGCCACCGGAAAGGGAAAATTGGTTTGACCAGCCACCGAAAACAAGACCCCGTTAAGCGATGCCTTCTTCTTCTTCTTCGAGTGAGGCAGTGATTCAGGAGGAGGGCGAGTAATTGGAGCTTCAGAAGAACTAGGTTGAATCTATCTTGCCAACCATGAATTATGATCCACTTGATCGGTTACACCGACGAGGAAGACACAACCTCTAGACATTGCTAGCCAGGAGAAGAACAAAACACACACTCACGTGAAGAGGACATAACTCTCGACCAAAAAAGACGTCGGACCAAAATCAGAAACCTAAAAGGTAGAAATAAAAAAAGAGAGACAAGATAGAAAAGCATTTGATTCATTAGTGTCCAGAGAACATCACAATTATCAGAACTTTGTCAATTTAAGAGAAGAAGTGAGAATAGTAGATCGTCAAGGAGCTCGCCCGCCTAGATTTTCTCTAGGGCGGGCTCATTTGAGTGCGGAGTCTTTCAGTTTTTCACTTTTGAATCTATCGTATGTTGGTTATACAAGTTTGATATTTGATTGACTGGTTCTATTATTTTAGAGCCCGTTTGGCTGATTTGGCTGATTCTGCTGAAATTTATGAAGTTCTGGCTGAAGTGGTTGCATTGGCTCATTCTGCTAATTTAAGATAAACTTATTTTTTAAATATATTTTATTAATAAAATAAAGAAAAAATTATATGTAAAAAAGGCTAAAATGATCATGTACAGTAACTTCAACCAATGCAGCCACAAAAGTAACTCCAACCTTACTTTTTCTGCTTATTACACAATTGAGCGCGCGAAAACAAAAATTACATGTTTGGTGAAAAAGCCGGTTGATAAGCCTGATAAGCCGAACAACAGTGTTGTCAAACGACCTCTTAATACTAGGTACTCCATATATGTTTTCTCCTTTAAAATAAACTCTCCAAATATTTAAAATTAAAAGCGCTCCATTGAAAGGTTTTTGCAAGAAAATACTCGATTTCCCCTCAGCCGGTTGTACGGTCGACACCGTACAACTGGTGGCAAATTTATAATTTTGGTGAAAATCATGGTTTCTCTTAAATGAGCATTTATGCAGTTTTGATGAGCGCCAGTGATCTCTGCTTCGTATCTTCTAATTCAATTTTTTTTTTATTTTTTGTTTATAAAAATTCTTAAATTATGTTTATAATCAATTTCAATTAATTTCTGAATCTAATAATTATTATACGTTTGAAATGTGAAACATTTTAAAATGAGCATAGAACAATACCAAATGAGCATACTTAACTTACAAAATGAGTATCGAATTTTGATCACTAATAAAGGTAAATTTTGGAATTATGTTGAAATATGGCCAACACTATGTTTCATAATATAATTTGGAGTAAATTCATTCTAATAACCTATACTTTTAACAGATCCTACCATCTTTGTTCTTAAATTAAAGTCTCACTTTTTTGGGGATTCCCCTAAATTAAAACTTCACTTCTTTATTTGGCAAATAAAAATATATCAAATTGTGTCAAACAGTGCAAAACGTGTTAAACTATTGGTATGTTTGGCACAACTAGCTGAAAAGATACTTTCGTAAGCTTTTTAATAACTGTTAGCTTTTAGTGACTGAAAAGATCTTAAAGAGAAAATGTGATAACTGTTTGGTAAAATGTTGACTGTCAAGTCAAACATATAACTAGAACCTTTTAGAGATTTTTTGAACACTACAAAAGTTAGAAGGTTGTCTGCCAAACATAGCTTATGTCAAAACATTTTACACTACGGTTACATTAATTTACCCTTCAATAAATTCATTTTATGTAAAATCAAATTAGACCTTTAATTTAGGTATAAAGAACTGAACTTCCGCCCCCTGCTCTAGGGCGCCCTGATCAACATGAATACACTTTTGGACGCACTCTCCAAGTAAACGTAAGATGATTGTCAACTTGTGGACAGATGTGTGAGGCTTTAGACGGGTCCATCCGACCTGCATGTCTGGAAGACTTGAACCCTCATTGATAAAAAAAATTAGGGTTGCGACTTGATTAGTGACATTGATGGTTTCATGATTATTTGGTTGCCACTTGTGAGTTGTGACGTTAAATAGTAATGGTTCATTTAAATTATTAGACCCATTTAAAGCCCTTTTGTAACTTCTATATCTCATTTTTACCAAAACATCCTTAAATTTTTATATTCCATAATAATCAAAATAATTAGAATTTAAATTATTTTTCAAATGGAATTGTCTAAAGTTGATGCAGAGAATCATTTTAATCATTTTTCATATAATTTTTTATTAGTAAAACATTGTCTACACACCGGTCAATTTAGAAGTATGTGAGACATAAGAAAAGTAAAATTTGTGTGATTGAAATTTGTGCAAAAGAAAGAGAAATGAGCAAGATCATAAATTAATTACTTTAATAAGAAAATCGCAATTTTTTTGGGATAACAAAAAAGAGAAAGTTGATCAAGTCCAATAGAACGGAGAGAGTATTTTGTAAATATAATTTTTCACAAATTAGCAGATTCAATCAATTCAATCTCTTCAGTTGGAATATCATCAATTTCAACATATTCATTCGATCCAGCTAATTCCAGTGTCACCAAATGGGTTTTGGTAAACCAAATTTCAATTTATCAATCTTATCAATTAGTTTTTTCAACAATCACATAACTTTTGATTGCGTACACTGAATTGTGTAATACTCCATAATAAAAAACAAGCGATATTAGAGTTAATTTCCGGTTTGAATTGGCAAAAATCACTGTATAGATCCATTTTATGTTTTTCACACGCGCGCGCACACGCACACACATATATATATATATTGTTTTTTTATTTTATTAATAAGATACGAGTATATTTTAAAAATAATTCCATAATTTATCAAATTCAGCTTTTTAGTCAATATTTCATCAATCTCAATCAATTCACTTAGTAGTCAATATCAATGCTATGTATTAGCAAACGGATCTAAATTTTGATGTTTGGTAGTCCGTATATGTTATTTGAATTTGTTCGTATGATCAGTGTTCTGAATTATTATGGGCAAGTCCGTTAGTGTGAGTATCAGTGTATTATGGAGGTGATTGGATAATAAACGCCTGATTGCGAAGATGTTCAGGA